CCCGCCACAACGCCGGCTATTTTTTAGTTGCAGCCATTATTGTTTTTGGCAGCCTGGGCTGGATTCGAACCAGCCACCTTAGGTGTTATGTGGCTGGTGCCTTAGCCACTTGAGCCATAGGTGCCGAGCCTTCTCATCCATATCTTACTACTTTTTTACAGGGGAGTGCTTATGATTGTCCACATTTTATTTATTTATTGCAGTTTTTGGCTGGGCTGGGTTTTAACCCACCACCTCTGGCATATGAGGCTGCTGCCCTACTCCTTTGAGCCACAGGCGCCACCCATGTCCACATTTTATCAATGAAATAGGAATAGAGTCAAGTAACTTACCAGTGATATTTCAGCTACTTCAGAGAAAGGCTTGGATTCTATCCCTAGTGGTGTAGCTCTAATTTGGCAATAGATTTGGGTTTGGATACTTGCTGTGCTTGCTTACGGCAAATTACTTAGTTAATGGGGCATCATTACCCTCACTGGTAAAGTGAAGCTTGCTTACCTAGATTTGCTGTAAAAATTAAACTGGGAATGCATGCACATTTCTGGAGGTAGTACACCCAGGAAGGGCATGGAAGGTCTATATCCCTATCCCCATGCAAAACAAGAAAGAAAATAGAGATGGACATCTTTGGCAGATAAACCATCCTGGTACAGTGATGCCTGGAAACCGATAGGGAAAACCATGGGCAAAGGAAATAATTCCAGGCAACAGGCAGACCACTCTTCCAGCATCCCAAGAGACACCAGACACACCTGATCAGTTCTGATCTCCCTCTGCTGCCAGGACATTGCCATTGCATGATTCCACAGGGGCACATTCACAAAGTGGGGATGATGCCTCCTAGAGGCAAGTGTAACAATGGGGTCTTGAAATCTACCTGACTCAGCCCCCCCCCCAGCAGGCCTGGCACTTACTCCACTATCAGTCACAATTTGTGGAACTCAAACCAGGTTTTTTTTTTTGTTTTTTTTTGAGACAGAGCCTCACACTGTCCCCCCTGGATAGAGTGCTATGGCATCACAGCTCACAGCAACCTCCAACTCCTGGGCTCAAGCCAGTCTCCTGCCTCAGCCTCCCAAGTAGCTGGGACCACAGGCACCCACCACAATGCCCGGCTATTTTTTTTTGGCAGGCCTGGGCTGTATTCAAACCCGCCACCTTAGGTGTATGTGGCTGGTGCATTAGCCACTTGAGCCACAGGTGCCAAGCCTCAAACCAGGTTCTGTATCCAGCACTTAACCCTTAGCCCAGCTGACTCTGGAGGGAGGCCTAGCTGGGCTC